CTGTGGCTCAAGTGGTAGAGCGCTAGCCTTGAGCTAAAAAGCTGAGGGACAGTGCCCAGGCCCAGAGTTCAGGCCCCATGACCGGACACCCCCCCCCCAAAAAAAAAGAGACACTAAGGGCAAAAACTTTTTTTTTTTCTTTGTCGGTCGTGGGGCTTGAACTCTGGGCCTGGGCGCTGTCCTCAGCTCGTCAGCTCAAGGCAAGGGCTCTACCACTAGAGCTACAGCACCACTTCTGGTTTCCTGGTGGTTTGTTGGAGATAGGAGTCTCACGGTCTCTCCTGCCTGGGCTGGCTTTGAATCGAGATCCTCAGATCTCAGCCTCCTGAGTAGCTAGGATTACAGGCGTGAGCCACCAGCGCCCGGCAGGGCAAAAACTTTTAAACTTTGAAAAGACATCCAAGCCGGGCGCTGGTGGCTCATGCCTGTAATCCTAGCTACTCAGGAGGCTGAGATCTGAGGCCCAAGGTTCAAACTGGAAACTGGAAGTGGCTTGGTGGCACAAGTGGTAGAGTGCTCACCTTGAGCTGAAGAGCTGAGGGACAGTGCCTAGGCCCAGAGAGTTCATGACCGATCCTCCCCCCCCCCAAAAAAAAAGGCAACCAAAAGAAATTATTATTTTACATTTTTCTAATTTGGGGAGGGGAAGGGAAATAAAAACTGAAATAAGGATACAGGTTGACCCATTGTAACAACGAGATGTACAAGACACTTTGTTGAAAATGAACTTTACAACTTTGGGGCAGGGGAGGGAGGAGTTGGAGGGGTGGGGAGGGAAGGGCTGGTAGGAGAAAAACAGAGGAGGGGATAACAATGCTCCAAAGAAAAATGTACTCATTGGGCTGGGAAGGTGGCTCAGTGGTAGAGCGCTTGCCTTGCATGCATGAGGTCCTGGGTTCGATTCCCCAGCACCACATAAGCAGAAAAAAAAAAAAGCCAGAAATGGTGCTGTGGCTCAAGTGGTAGAGCGCTAGCCTTGAGCTGAAGAGCTGAGGGACAGAGCCCAGGCACAGAATTCAGGCCCCACAACCTGACCCAAAAGAAAAAAAAAAAATGTACTCATTGCCTTACTCATGTAACTGTAACCCCTCTGTACAGTATCTTTACAATAAAAAATATATATTATATAAAAAAGAAATGATATTTCCCCATTTGTATAACATCTTTACAATAAAATTAAATTAAAGAAAGAAAGATGGGGCTGGGAATGTGGTTTGGTGGTAGAGTGTTTGCCTAGCATGCATGAGGCCCTGGGTTTGATTCCTCAGCACCACATAAGCAGAAAAAGCCAGAAGTGGTGTTCTGGCTCAAGTGGTAGAGCCAGCCTTGAACTGAAGAGCTGCTAAGGGACAGTGTTCAGGTCCCATGACAGAAAGAAAGAAAGAAAGAAAGAAAGAAAGGGAGGGAGGGAGGGAGAGAGGGAGGGAGGGAGAGAGGGAGGGAGGGAGGGAAAGGAAGGAAAAAAAGACATTTCCATGGGGCTTAGAAAGAAAACATAAAATTATTAAGTTATATGGTCCTAAGGCTTAAACCTTGAATAAGTAAGGATGCCAAAGTTCCCTTCCTGAAATCTAGGGAAATGAACAAACACACTTTTCTCCCTTGTTAGGAATTTCTATCAAAGAATCCAGATACCTTGATATTTCCTCTGTGGCGATATGCTCAAAATAATCACAGGGGGAATTTTCAGAAGCAAAATCATCCCTGCTACCTTGATCAAATGATCACTCCAGGAGAACAAGCCTTGTGTTTACTGTAGAGTCTTTTTTTTTTTTAATTGGTTGTGGGGCTTGAACTCAGAATCTAGGCTTTGTCCCTGAGCTCTTTGCTCAAAACTAGTGCTCTTCCACTTTGAGCCACAGCACCAGTTTCAATTTTTGAGTAGTTAATTGGAGATTAGAGTCTCACAGTGACTGGCTGGTTTTGAACCTTTATCCTCAGATCTCAGCCTCCTGAGTAGCTAGGATTACAGGCATGAGCTACCAGTGTCTGGTTACTGTGGGGTCCTAACAGAAGTTTTCATTAAGAAATCCCAGACAGGGCTGGGAAGGTGGCTCATTGGTAGAGCGCTTGCCTTGCATGCCTGAGGCCCTGGGTTCAATTCCCCAGCACCACATAAGAAAAAAGAAAAAAACCGGAAGTGGCGCTATGGCTCAAGTGGTAGAACACTAGCTTTGAGCTGAAGAGCTGAGGGACAGCGCCCAGGCCCAGAGTTCAGGCCCCACGACTGGACCCAAAAAAAAAAAAAATCCCAGACAGCTGGGCTGGATGACTCATGCTTGTAATCTTAGCTACTCAAGAGGCTGAGATCTGAGAATCAAGGTTCAAAGCCAGCTTAGGCAGAAAAGTCCATGAGACCCTCATCTCCAATTAACCACCAAAAAGCTGGAGGTGGAGCTATGGCTCAAGTAATAGAGTATTAGCCTTGAGCAAAAAAAAGCTCAGGGACAGCACTCAGGCTTTAAGTTCAAGCCCCAGGATTGTCACGAAAGAAAAGAAAGAAAGAGAGAAAGAGAGAGAGAGAAAGAAAGAAAGAAAGACAGAAAGAAAGAAAGAGAAAGAAAAGAAAAAAGAAATCCCAGAGATATGGTAATTCCATGAAAAAAATTTGCCTTGCCTAGCTGCTCCAAAATCTCAAAACCTTCTACTTCCTTCTCCTTCCCAGACTTTCCTATCCTCATCCATCTTTCCTTCAGAGCAATCAATCACAAACTACCCTTCTCACATGGCTCAGGGGCCAGAAACTAAAGAAATTTAGATTTATTTACATCCATCACCTTCCTGTCAAGGATTCATTCCAGCATCATTCAGATTCATTAGTTACAACCATCCACCCCTTCCCTTTTGGTTCATCCTTAACAAGCTGGCTATCATTAAGGTGACAAAACAATAAAACACCTATGTTCAATGGGTTCAGGGACCAAGACAGGCAGATTGACCACAGTTTGCTTGGAAACCTGCTGAAAGGGAATCATTTCATCTAGAGAAAGCTGTTCACAAGTCTGTCCCTACATTTCAGTAAATACAGGCATTGTGTCATTTGCCAAGAGAATGTATTCCTGTTTTCTAATCTAGAAAATATGCTCATCCTTGTTAGGTTCCTACAAAGCTTTTTCTCCATAAGGCGCCAGTGGCTCAAGCCTGTAATTCTAGCTACTCAGGAGGCTGAGATCTGATGATCGAGGTTCAAAGCCAGCCTGGGGAGGAAAGTCCGTGAGCCTCTTATCTGCAATTAACCACCAGAAAAACAGAAGTGGTGCTGTGGCTCAAGTGGTAGAGCACTGGCCATGAGCTGA